TTTTCCATTAAAAAAAAAAAAACAACGGGAACCTTCGTAAATGCGACATTAATTAAAACTCGACGCGAACAACAGTCACACATGTAAAAAATTTTTTTTCAAGGAATCAAAAACCTTAGATGATAATGATAATGATAATTCTAATTCTAATTCTAATAATAATAATAATAATTACGTGCGTTTTAACACAATTACATTTTTAATTTTTTCAAGGAGGCAAAGAGAAATTTTTTTTCGAAATTAATTTTTAAGGTAATTTAAAAAAGATTAGAAGAGTAAAAGAGAGAAACGACGATGAGAAAACACGAAGGCTTTGTTACAAATCTCTCTCTCTCTCTCAAAAAAAACCAATTACCGTTAAAAAGATCACAGGGGATGAATGAAAGGAAGAACGCGGAGGCCGCGAAGGGCAAAATCAAACATATACGTACACAAATGGATTTGGGCGAGAGAGAGAGGAGGAAACGAGCGTGAAATGATCTCAAATTTGGATTTTCCAAAAATAAAAAAAAATTTCACTTTATCAATTTTGTCATGGGGTTAAATTGTACGTGACGATCAACACGAACAAAAAAATAAAATAAATAAATAAATAAATAAATAAATGAAGAACTTTAAACGACGGTCGTTGACTCATTATACAATACTACGCACGACGCGGGGGGTGGGGTGGGGGAAACGAGGATAAAAAGAAAGAAATTATCATTATTATTTTTGACACCAACTTCCGCCATTTTAATACCGAAAAAAAAAAAAGGTTCAACGAAATAACAATTGTTATGAACTTTCACTTATAAACTTTCACGAATATCATTTTTACGTTCGTGTCAACAACGATATGCCAAATTTCTTTTTTTTTTTTTTTTTATCTCTATGAGACTTCGAAAGGGGGGCCGGGTGGGGGCGAGAAGGATTTGAACCTTAGTCGAAATCGACCATGTTTCCTTCTTCACGTTTCCCCCCCCCACATCGTTAATCAATTTGCACGGGTAAAAAAAAAAAAAAAAACTCATTGAATGGTTTAACCACCTCTTTCCAGTTGAAATGAGCTATATATGAAAAATCTGACAATTATTATTATTATTATCATTATTATTATTATTATTATTATTATTATTATTATTATTATTATTATTATTAATGACAACCGAATTGAAAAGAAGAAAAAAAAAAAAAGTAAAAGAAGAGTTCGTGGAATGACTCAGCCATTTTTATGGTGTTCAGGTACAAAAAACTTTTTTTTTGCAAATCCTTAAATCTTTATCATTATTATTATTACACGAAACACGAAACTACACACGCGCACGCACACGCACACGCACAAACGCACGCACGCACGCACGCAAAAACCCGAGTTTCTGCCGAGGTGATTAATGATTTCTTTTTTCTTTTTAAAGTTTGAATAAAATTTTTTATTTGCGAAATTTTACTTCATGCATCGCCACATGAACGATGACGAAACCTACGCGCGGCAAACTCAAAGAAATCGTTCGATATATCGATCTATCGATCGATACGATCGCGGATTTTAAATTAACGAAACTTGTTAAAATTCTCCAACAAAAAATCAAAAAAAAAAAAAAAACACACGGAAATCGCCATTTTTTTTTTTCCTGGAAAGAGCAGAAGACAAAGAGAGAGAGAGAGAGAGAGAGAGGGAGGGGAGGAGGGGCGGGAGGGGAAACCGTTTAAAATGACGCGTTATAAGCCATTGAGTAAATTTAATTATTGTTAACCCAATGAGGTATTCACGAACACGTTTCCTCTCTCTTTTTTTGCTTGCTGCATGCTTACACAATTAATGTGTTTGTATTTTCACGGTCAAGGACACAAATGCAACAAATTATCATTTTACAAAAAAAAAAAAAAAAAACACGGTCGAACCGCTTTTCCGTTGCGAATTAAATTTCTTATCACGCGAATATTTAAATATTATTATTATTATTATTGTTTGTGCAACGCCTTTCTATAAGTAGTATCATCATCATCATCATCATCATCATCATCATCATCGTGAAAATAAAAGCATAAAAATAAATGACACCTTACCTTATTATTACTATGACTATTACTCGTTGGACTACTGCTGGGACTAATGCTAGGACTCGAACCTGAACTATTATTCCAACGGCAGCTCCTCAACAACTTTGCTATAACTTGTACCTGAAAATTACCAATAAAAATAAATTAAACGTTAACACACACACACACACACACACACACACCATTTTGTATTTTAACCCGCGACGCGTTTATTATTTTATTTTATTTTTTTTTGAAGGATAGCAAAACGTACACACGCGATTTTTCCCTCGCAAAAAAAATTTGCTACGGTTAACTGAAATCCGATTAACGTATTTGGCGAGCTTATAAAAAAAAAACAATTCTTGGAACAAAAGAAAAGAAAAGTTTTAAAAAAAGGAACCGCAACAAATTAAAAAAAAAAAAAAAAAAAAATGAAAAATGACGGTTTACCTAAAGAAAGAAATTAATAAAATGGCGGCCGGCGGTAAATTAACCAAAAAACACAATTAAATGACTTTAAAGCCAGATGTTACTCTAATGATGAAATTATTATTATTACTTTTGATTTGTTTCCAACATGCATTATTTACTTATTATATTTTCGATCGTCTCCATCTTTTTCTTTTCTTACAAGGTTATATGACCAATATACCTGAACCTGTACCTTTCTTTCCGGTGATACACGCATATAACACAATTAAATTTCGTCAGTTGCTACGTAAGCAATATAAAGAAATGCGTCAATGAATGCGTATAAAAAAAAAAAAAATTAAATAAATAAAACAATCGCAGGGATAAACCAAACGTTTTCTTTCTTCTTAAACAATAATAATAATAATAATAATAATAATTTATAATAAGTTGAAAATAATAATGATATTGGTCGTAATTATTCGGCAAATTCTACAAAAAAAAAAAAAAAAAAAAAAAAAAAAAACATTTTTTTTTTTCTTTGACGTCATTAATCAAGTCATGTTCATTATTTTTACCAGTTACGTGAATCAGGTCAACCTGTCAATTAAATAATGATTAAAAGAAAGAAAATTCTAAAATTATAGCAGAAGACAAATTCTCCCGAATTTCCTTGTGATGTGGACCAAAAAAAAAAAAAAAAAAAAGGGAAACAATTTATCCTTTTATTTTTCCCGGATTTTTCCGATATCAACTGGGAAAACAAAAATTTTTTTCTAAATATTTTCCCAATGGTAAAAAACATACGTGAACGTACGAAACGGAAGGAGTTACTAAAAATCCCATACTGGCAAACTACAAATACCTAACCGGAAATGACGAACATAAAAAAGATGTAAATTCATAGAGTAAATAAACATATCGCGACCACGTACGATTTTACCATATGAAATTTATTAATCGATACGGTAAAAAGATTTCGGGGGGGGTGGTGGTGGTGGAAATGGATCATCGAATCTGGAGCCCGTATCACGGATTATAATTACAGGAAAACATCAGTAATAATAATAATAATAATAATAATAATAATAATAATAATAATAATAATAATAATAATAATGATAATAATAAAGGGATAAAAACGAACAATGAAAAACCGTCGGATAAAACGCCCGCGCGCGCGAAATTTATTTCCCATATATATATATATATATATATATATATATATATATATATATATATATATATATATATATATATATATATATATATATATATATATATATATATATTCAAAAAAAAATGGGGGGGGGGAAAAAATTTAATTAAATTCTAGTAAAACCACAAATATCGTGCGGTTTACAAAATCGCCCCCTGTTAAAATAATAATAATAATAATAATAATAATAATAATAATGATGATGATGATGATATCAATGAATGAATGGAAAAAAAAGGTCGTAATTTCTATGCGAAAAAATTGCTCGACAAATATTTTGCGGTCAATATTTTATTTATTATCCGTACCTGAAATCATCGAACCTTTTTTTTCCCTTCCCCCCCCCTCCGCCCCCTTACAATTAATTAAAGTTTCATAAAAAATTTTTCCGACTATTTAACGTTATTTAACCCGTCTCCCCCCCTTTTTTTTTTAATTCAAATCGTTTGAGAAGATTTATCCCTTCCACCCTACCTACCTACCTACCTACCACTACCTAAAAACGAAATCAAGCACCCGAGATATAATTATAGCTTTCGGGTAAATAAATGAAAAAAAAAAAAAAAAATCGGGGGGGGGGGCGTTCAGGTCGGTTGCTTACACGTCAATCAAACAAAATTATTATTAATCCTTACTCACGCGGCTGCATCGCTTACGTATTTTTTTTTTTTTTTTTTTTTTTTTTAACGATAAAAACGCGCGTATTTTACCCTGAAACCTGAAACGCATAACATAATAATAATCAGGATTTTCTTTTCTCTTTTAATTTCAGGTTAACAGAAACGACCTTTTGTTTGTTAGAAAATTGAAATTTCTTTCGCGGTAAAAACCGAAAAACTGGAAAACGTACGTCACGCGCACGTTCTAAAATTTTCCAGTAGGGCACAATAAAAAAAAACCCCGCAATTTCGGAACCCTTTCCCCTTCCCTCCTCTCACCCCCGATCCGTCGGGGGTGTATAAACAAAACCGTGGGGATGCCAAAATCGTGAAAATTCGAATTTGACAACAAAAAGAAAATTTTTTTTTTTTGGCTTTATACTTATTAATCCGTCATGTTTATATATATATATGCGAAATAAACATGTAAATTGGCACACGTGACACATTTTTCCTTTCATCATCAAATTCGAAAATGTTTATTAAAGAAAAACTAAAACTTAAAAATTTTCTTTTTTTTCTTTTGTTTCGGCCAAATTTTTTTTTTTTTGTTTTATAAATTCATATCGTGATGGGTCTCGACACGAATGATTTCGCACGCATACGTCACCATATTTAAAATTCATCTAAAGAAAATTCAGGTACGACAACCACAAACAACAACAAAAAAATTTTCTTTTCATTACCTTATATGATAGATAAAGCTTTTTGTCCTTTAACAATAAAAAACATTTGGCCCAAACTTGCTTGTTTGCTTCTCTTATCCATATGTGACTGAATACGGTTGGACATTCGCCTCCGGATGAGAGTATGCTCTGCTGAAAAAGAAAAAAAGTTTGTGAATCATTTTCGATTGTGTTATGAGTAGTGAGTCATACTCAGTGTGAACACAACAGAAACAACGACAACAACAAAGGCCACAATCACACAGACCTTGAATGTTATCATGTTTGGGAAAAGGGAGGGGAAGGCGGGTTGGGCGAAAAAATTAACGTGCAACGTGCACCATTGCAACAATCACACCTGTGACGTAAATGAGTGAGAGAGAGAGAGAGAGACGGGTATTAAATCCATCTGTCTTCTTTCTTTTTTTTGGACACCAAACTTCGTGAATCGTAGCAAAATTTATTACCACGTGACATATTGTCCATCTAATATCGATCTAACAGAAGATACGATTTATTACAACAAAAAAAACTCGTTTACGAAACCCAAAGAAAAACTTGAATGGCGAACTTGAACTTTGTATCCATATTATAAGGCCATTAAAAAACGATTTTCGAGTGTGCTCCAGGAAAAAAAAAAACATTTTTTTCCCTTTTAATTAATGCCTTCTTTTGTTTGTCCAGTAATAAATTACGACCGGGATGAACTTTCTCTCTCTCTCTCTCTCTCTCTCTCTCTCTCTCTTTCCGGAAGAAATTCCAGAAAATTCAAAGTATATAAAGTATAAATTCGATTAAATCATTTGAATATTCATCCGGGGAGGGGAAAAGTTGGGGGAAGAGTAAGAAAAAAACCTGAACGTAGGAAAACTAAATTTCGAATTAACGGGGGGTAGGGCAGGGCAGGGGAGGGCAGGGGAGGGAGGGAAACCGATGCTCGCTCGTGAACGTCAAATTTAAAAATCTCGGCTCGCTTGTCAAAACGTTTTTCTTCTTCTTCTTCCGACGTGTAAATAACCTAAAAATTTTAAAAATGCCAAATGCAAACGCGTACGACGACTTTTCAAAAAAAAAAATTTTCCACCATTTTGCGTGATCCTTTCTTGCAAATAATCACGTCAATGTGTCCGTTACCCGATGATTATTTATTCCCATTCGTTATTTTGCAATAATAATCCCGACGTACGGGGGGAGGGGGGGGACGTATCGCGTGAGTGCAAAAAAAATTCTTTCTGTCTTTCTTTCTACATTGATTGCAAAATCGAAATTTAATTACACGGTGCAAAATACATATGTAAAAAAAATCAATTATAAATCCGAAAAGAGAGAGAGAGAGAGAGAGAGAGAGAGAGAGAGATGGAGGGAGGAGAGCAAAAACGTATTCTTATTAAATTTAAATTATTATATTGAATATTCGTAAAACGAGTTTTGCACGTTTCACTGCCTTGCGGACACATTGAAAGGTTCGTTACGAAATTATGTGTGAATTCATAAATCAAAACCTGCCGACTCGAGAGAGAGAAAAAACACGTGAGTTCGAATATACACCTTTTTTGTATCGGGAAATTCCCCTCCCCTCCCCCTGCTCCCGCACCCCAACCCGAAACGTGAAAATCCATCGTTTTCCTCCTTCCCCCTACATTTTCCGCATCCGGTAAATGATTACGCATATTACGCGTGATAATAATTATGGTAATTTAGTATATTAAATTGATCCACGGATCAAAAGGTGTTTTTGTTGTTTTCCCCCCCCCCCCAAGTACCTTCAAATTATCACCGATTAAATAATAATAATAATAATAATAATAATAATAATAATAATAATAATAATAATAATAATAATAATAATAATAATAATAGTTTAAAACGGTGACCGAATGAAATGACGAATCCTTTTAATTACCGAAAATGAAATTTAAAAAAAAAATTTTTTTTTCGTTCGACTTGGCACGAACACATTTTTGGCATAATAAGAAAATTTTATTATTATTATTATTATTATTATTATTATTATTGCGATTTTTTTTTTTTTTGCATATTCTTGGAACGCCTTCGTTTTACAATTCACTACACCAGTCACGCCTTTGACACACACACACACGCACGCACACACCTCAGGTTAGTTTTCGACAACGACAGTAACTGCTTACGTGAATTTCCTATTCAAAGCCAAAGGGGAAGAGAGAGATAGAGAGAGAGTGAGGGGGGAGAGGGAAGGGCGCGGGCGCGTACGGAGAAACAAAGAAAAAAAAATTTTCCATTTCCCCGAATAATTTAAAAAATGCCTGAAGCCTGACGAAATGCCTAAAAAATTACGAGAAGCCATTTAAAAAAAAAAACTTTTTTATTAATATTTTATTAGTTAAACGAGAGAGAGAGAGAGAGAGAGAGAAAAAGGGGGGGAAGGGGAACCTATGCTTTTTTTCCACAAAAGGTACCACGTAAAAAAAAACCTTTGGGGCATTAATCAAAAAGTAATAATGATGATGATAATGATAATAATTAAATACTCAGTAACGAAAGAAACGAAAATGCTCTCAATAAATCCCCCCCTCCCGCCATTTCCCCCCCCTTTTTTTTGCAAATGGCAAGTGCAAAGTTCCCCCCTCCCCCCAGTTTTTTTTTAGAATGCCTGAAGAAAATCAAAAAATTTAAAAGTTTTTATTTTATTGCTTTCCTACTTACGGTCGGGAAATTATTACAATTTGTTGTTCCAGAAACGGAAAAAAAAAAAAAATTTGGGGAGACACCCGAACCCCCCTCGAATGGGGGAGAGAGAGAGAGGGAAAGGGGAGGGTAGGGAAACAACATTCACTTAATTTTCTTTTTACTCACGTGTAAAACGGATGATTTCGTCAGACTCGCGGGTAAATCTTCTGCTTCTTCCAAATCGATCATGTTCACCGGGAAAAATTGCTGAAAATAAAAAAAAACAAATAATAATAATGATAATGATAATAAGAGAGAGAGCGAGAGAGAGAGAGAGAGAGAGAGAGGGAAAACCCAACGAAATTCGGAATAAATGCAAATACGTGATTTCATTCCAAACCCCCACCACCGCCACCACCATCACCATCAACACGGATTCGTTTTTAGTTTCTTCTGCTTTTCAAAAAAAAAAAAAAAAAAAAAACTAATTTGAAATTTTTTTTTACCGTTACGCATAAACATTTACCAACCGTTAATTTTAATAATGTATTAATATTTATTTAATGTAAAAAAAAAAAAGGACGACAAATATCGTATTGAGAAAAAAACCCGCGGAATCGATTTCAAAACGGAATTTTAAAATAATAATAATAATTAATGATTCTCTCTCTCTCTCTCTCTCTCTCTCTCTCGTAAATTCGATATGACAAAAAAAAAAAAAAAATGACTTATGAAACGTTCGACATTTTGTTTTCCCCGCCATATTGAAAATTTGCACGCGATCGTCATCTACCATCGACGTGTCATTAAACGCACGCCATTTTCTTTTTTTTTTTTTTTTGCAAAACATTTTCAATTTAGACTTTGCCGTCTCTCGTCACGTACCTGAGGATTTGGAAAAAATTCATATTTGATAAAATTCTTTCGGAAAACGAATCTTTTCCCCGTTTTCCTTGCAAAGCTTTCCATATTGTGATAAGTTGATAAAACATCTTCGTGATCTTCTAAACTTCTTTCTGCCATTTTGTTTTTTGTGTTTATATTCCACGACGACATGAAAACAAAATGTAAAAATAATTTTACTTTTTTTTTTTTGGGGGGGGGGAAAGAAAAAAATTCTTTGTTACTTTATCCCGTAGTTATTATTATTATTATTATTTTCTTATCTCACTCACCCAATCCGAGATCGGTCCAATGTTCTATTATCGTCCAGTTTACATCTTTGGCAACTCTATTTTTTAATGCCAACAACTGACAAAGATCACTCACGCAAAGATTTTTTTCAACAATTACCGTCTGATAACTGTTGTCGTCGTTGTAAAAAATTAATTCTTCCTAAAAACAAAAATTTAAATTTTAAGGTTTGTATTTGGTGTACCTAAAACGACACAAACACAAACTTCAAGAAGGAGAAGATGAAGAAAAATTCTACGACAGGGTAATCGTCGTCGTCGTCGTCGTCGTCGAAACTTCCGTTTGATTCTTCTCATCTTCTAAATAATAATAATAATAATAATAATAAATCAAATTTCACTTACTTGTTTTTCCGTCGATCTATCTTTGTCTTCGGAATCTCTTCCGAACATGGACGTGAGTTCGAAATACGTCGGAACGTTTGGTAGCCTCTCATAGCTGGCACTGCTGTCCATGCACGAACACTTCATGTCTGCACCTAAATAAATAAATAAATAAAACCAAATCGACAATTTAATATAGATATATTTGATTTCGTATCGATTATTACATCGATCGGTCAAAACGCACGCACACGCACACGCACACACGCACACGCGGGAAAAATATTTAAAAAAAAAAATTGCCCTTCGGCTACTAATAATAAAATAAAAAACGTTTCGTGACGTCATTGCAACAACTCGAATGAAAAACCAAAAAACCAACAATTCCCGAATCGAAATTATTATTATTATTATTACTATTATTACTATTATTTAATTTTTCTTTTTTTTTTTTAATGAATGACGTCACATTCACAAAGTACTTACTTACTTAAATTCCTATTTAACAACAACAACAACAACCAGAACAACAACCAAAAAGTTTTTTTTTTTTTTTTCTAAAAGAAATGTAATGTAGTTATTATTATTATTATTATTACGAATTTTTATTTTTAACAAAATATTTATTGATGATATGACGTTTGCGAACCAATTGGTTGGGGACCACCTCACGGACCATTTTTAATAATAATAATAATAATAATAATAATAATAATAATAATAATACAGACCCCCATAAAAGATTTTTTTATTTATTAAAAAAAAAAAAAAAAAAGACGGTTAATTTGCAAAATAAAAGATAAGAAAACTTCCATCCATGGTGATAATAATGATAATAATAGTGATGATAATAATAATAATAATAATAATAATAATAATTTTTAAAAATTGCATTCATTTAAAATTTATCGATGAGTTCAAAAATAATAATAATAATAAAATTGATCGTTAACGTGAAGGAGGAGGGGGAGCGGGGCGGGTGTGCAACAGCAAATGCAATCCTTTGAACGTTGAATGATTTTTTGGCATCGGTAAATCAAACAAAAATAAACGAATATCAAAATTTTTATCGCATTACGACAGCAACAGAAACAAAAAAAAAAAAAACAAAACAAAAGCTTTGATATCTGACTTTTCTTTTTTTTTTTTTTATTAAAACAACTTGCTGACAATGAGAAAACAAAAAAAAAAAATAATAATAATAATAATAATAATAATGTTTCACGAACGAAAATTACTAGAAATTTTTCTAGACAAAACTCACTCACTGCACGAACGCGAAAACAAAAACAAAACAAAAGATTGCCATTTTTGTTTTTCTAAAGCCACGTGGCGAGTGTTAAGAACGATCGACTTTTAATTATCGCAAAATTAATAAAAACCAAAACAAAAGAATTTCTTTCTTTTCAGATTAAAAAATTAAAAAAACTTTTCGCGGGGAAAACACCTGAACGAAATCGTAAATAATAATAATAATAATAATAAATAACCTTTGTGTTAAGCTAAGGGTGAAAGAGAGAGGGAGGGTTTGCTGATTTTTCTTTCGTATTCCTCCCTCCTTTCGGGGGGGATAAAAAGGACATCGATAGTTTTCTTCGCGACACATTCAAATTTTTTTTTTTTTTATTTCGGCGACATTTTTCTCCGTTAATTTTCCGACGAAATGGATCGTTAATTCCACGTCTTTTGCTTGCAGATATTAAAAAATTTAACGTTGAATTAATACTGACGACTATGACACTGATTCGAATGCGAGTCCCTTAAATTTTTTTCACGCAAGGACCGTATACAGGATTTATTTTATTTTGACGTTTCGAAAACGAAAAAAAAAATAAATAAATAAATAAACTCGCGTTGCCAATAATTGAAACTGCCAAAAAAAAAAAAAAAAAAAAAAAAAATTTTCCTAAAATTTTCTCGATTAACCGTTCGAAATTTTGACGATTGAAAACAAAAAAAAAAGCGGGAATTTTAAATTGAAACCAAATATGAAACACACGATATCCCCCTCCCTCCCTTCCTCTCACCCTCCCTCTCTCCAGCCCCTTATCATCCTTTTTTCCCTCATTAAAAAAAAAAAAAACAAAAAACAAACAAACCCCCCCCCATAAAAAAAAATTTTTCCATCATTTTCAAACAAATTAAAAAAAAAAAAAAAACTCGAGAACTGCACCATTATTATTATTATTATTATTATGATCCTTTTTATTATCATCATCATTATTATTTTTTTTTCATAACAAAAATGAAATTTCATTTTTACAAAAAAAAAAAAAAAATGACAGGGTAAATCTATGGAGAAAACTTTCCGATGATAATTTTCCAGTAAACTGGTTTTGAAATAATTTTAATTAGATATTTAGAAGAGAAATAATAAGAAAAAAATTCCATTATGACCAAATTCTTTTTTCTATCTCTCTCTCTCTCTCTCTCTCTCCCCATTTCTACCTCTTTTTCTCTCTCTAACCCCCCCCTCTCTCTCTCTTTCTCGCTCCTTTCCTCTTTTTTTTTTAACGCACAAAAATATTCCATTAAAATAAATTGAATGTCAATTTTTTTTTTTAAATTGAAAAATTATCATTATTATTTCTCTCTCTCTCTCTCTCTCTCTCTCTCTCTCTCTTTCTCTCTCTCTCTCTCTGTCTCTCTCTCAATGCTTAACATTCATAAACGTCGACACCTGAAAAACTTTTTTTTACGATGCCTGAAAAAAAATGAAAATGAAAATCAAATACCTTAAATTTTATGTACCGTCGTCAAAGTCATGCGATTTTTTTTTTAACGTCAACAACAAACAACAAACAATTAAAAATTATTATTATTATTATTATTATTATTATTATTTTGTTTTTCCTTTTTTTGCCCCTTTTGAGAGTTTATCTGGAAAACCAGACTGAAAATTTGACCTTTTGCACTCATCATTTGGACGTAATTTTTCCTTTTTTTATTTCAAATATAAAAATAAATTTATGATCATTATTATTATTATTATTATTATTAAAAATATGATTGTTGTCATCGTCGCAATAAATTTTCCATTTTTTTTTTTCCTATTACAAAAATAAAGATTCGGCAAAAAGAAGAAGAAGAAAATCAAATTTCTAAACAAATTTCTAATAATTTTTTTATTTTTAAATTTAAACTCCACGACAGCAAACGACAAACAAGTGTTACCAACATATATATACGAAACAAACAAACAAGTTTAACATTACACACATGCACACGCACACACACGCATGTAAAACGATATTAAAAAATTTTCTTTTTATAGGTTTCACATAATCATAGCCAAAAGCATTGATAAGAAACGTACGAATGATAGATAAAAAAAAAAAAAAACATGATTCAAATCAAATTACCATTTGTCAAAAAATATTTCTTTTCATTTTTCTCATATTATTATTATTATTATTATTATTATTATTATTATTATTATTATTATTATTATTATTATTTTATTTTTTTCGAAAATAAATATTAGCTTTACATGTTTTCTGTTTTTTGCAATGTGACACGTCCCCTCCCTCCCTCCCACTCTCCCTCCTTCCTCCAATAATTTGTAGAAAAAAAATTTCCACCAATTTCGTTGGAAATTCAAACCTGTTCGATATATATAAAAAAAAAAAAAATTTCCCCAGCAAAAAAAAAAAAAAAATCAAAGCGAAACGTAAATCAACCGTGAACTAACTAACTAACTAACTAACTAACTAACTAACCAAATAATAATAATAATAATAATAATAATAATAATAATAATAAAACTTTTTTCCAGGTAATTGGGAAAAAAAACAAACAAACGATACCAACTGAGAAACTCCCTCTCGCCTCAAGTTTCAAAAAATATGAACGCAAATTTTTTAGTAACAAAT